TAAAACTTAACAGAAATTGAAAAAGCCTCAAATGTTGACAATTTAGAAATATATATTATGAACTATTTAAGAATAATGAAAATATAGAGAATAATAAAACGGTTATTTTTTCTGCTTTATTGCGTTGTTATTATTTCTTTTCCTTTGCAATACTAGGGGTTGAACTCAGGGCCTCCTACTTGATGGGCTTGTGCATTACCATTTGAGCCAGGCTGCCAGCCCGCTTGTCTTGTTTTAAACTAAAACGGATGTTTTAACTACTTTTGAGACAAGGTCTCTTTATATAGCCCAGACTGGCCTTGAACTCATGAGCCTCTTGCTTTAGCCTCCCCAGTGTTGGGGATTACTGGTGTGTACCACCATGCTCAGCTTGAAACTGATGTTTTTTAAAATGTAAACTTTTTATAGACGATTTTAAGAAAGTCTGCAAGTGAATACCATAACCAAATAATAACAGACATAAAATTTCAAACAAACTAACAAATACAGCTTACATTGGTATACCTGATGAACTAAATTATACTTCCTAATTTCTTTATCTGAGAGGAATTAGTGTTAGTGAAATATATGAGCTCTATCCAGAAAGCAGATCATATATATTAATGATTTTCCCCTAAGAAAAAGACTTCCTTCTTGGAAAAGAAAAGGTAATTATTACACACATGTACACATACAACTGAACTGAGATCTCCACTATATCCCCACACAAGAAACAGTTTTATTTATTTTATTTTATTGTTTTTACATTTACTTACATGTGTATATGTTATTTGGGCCACCTCTCCCCTTTCTGGGCAGAACCTGTTCCGCCCTTTTGTTGAAGAGAAAATTTAAGAGGCAACAAGAAAAACATAGTGTTTTTGCTAGTTTGAGATAAAAATAGCTATATAGAGGGATTCCTAGCATTGCTTCCATGCACATGTATATTACAGCCCACACTAGTTCATCTCTACTAGACCTCTTCACTACTTCCTTGTCCCCTTCCCATAGTGGCCCTGCCAGTTTAAAAATTACTATATTCGCTCCTATACAGTGAGCACATCAACCACATTCAAGTTTTAGGTTCCCTTCCCTTTCCCTATTCCTCCCATGTGCATTCTCCCCTTAGTGTATGACTCATGTCCAATAATGTTACTGCATTGAAAAACAGTTTCTTACTAAATGTTTTGAGGTCATAAAAATCACTACCTTCTCATTACCTTCTTATACCTTTCATAGCACTCCTCTATTATTACTTTTTTTTTTTCAAGTTCTTTGACACTAAACATAGAAAATACAGATATTAACGGGGTACCATGCGATGTTCTGAAACATATACACACTTTGTAAGGTTTAAGTCAGGTTAAGTATCTATCTTTTCAGATACTTATCATTTCTTTAGAGTGAAAACAATCAAAGTTCTTCTATTTTTCTGTTTGTTTGTTTGTTTTGAGACAGGGTCTTGCTATGTAGTGCATACTGGCCTCAAACTCTCCATCCTCCTTCCTTGGCCTCCCAATTGATGAGATTACAATGTGCACCACTATGCCCAGCCTCTTCTATTTTTTTTTATTGGAGATACACAGAATATAATTGTTATCCACAGCCACTCTACTATTCAGGAGCATACCAGAATTTCTTACTTCTAACTGTAGCTTACTACCCATTGATCAATCTCTTCCCATCCTTCCCTTTCTTTACTTTTCTTTCTTTTTCAGTACTGGGGTTTGAACTCAGAGCCTCATGCTTGCTCTTGCTAGGCAGGCGCTCTACCACTTGAATCACTATTCCAGCCCCCTTTTTTTATTTTTCAAGACCCCCACCCCCTTACTTCTTTATATTGTGTAAGTCTACCTGTTCACTATCATGTGACCAAACTATATAGAATGTGTAAAGGTTAATTTTTGACAAGGGTATTGACTGCCAAAAATTATTCTTTTTATTTTTGGTGGTACTGATGTTTGAACTCAGGACCTCACACTTGCTAGGCAGGAGCTCTACCACTTGAGCCACTCCATCAGCTCTCATTCATTTTTATTTATGCTAAAAAGCTAGTTCTGATTTTATACTAAGAACATAATTAGGCTACCAGTGTTTCATTTTGTGCACATGTTGGGATGATTCAATAGCTCACATATAACAAAGAAATAACACTTTTAAACTAATGATTTTCCCCCAATGGTATTTAACCCTGTTTTATTACTATTATGAAATAACCAAGGCAGGCTATTTTATAAAGAAAAAAAGGTTATTTTGGTTCATGGTTATGGATGTGGTAGATCTAGGGGCCTTACCTGGTCATGGTTTTCTTGCTGACAGAGTCTTGAGGTACAGACCATCATATGGCACAAGACAGGAAGAGTAGGTATGAATGGGTATGTCTGATCTCTCTCATACTCTCTCTCTTAAAAAATCACCAGGACTCAGTCACGCTGGTGGTGGGGGGTTCATTTAATAACTTTATCTAATCCTAATCATTTCCCAAAGGCCCTATCTCCACATACCATAGTCAGATTAAATTTCCACTTTCTTAAGACTTCACAATAGGGATTAAGTTTCGACACAATAGGAATTAAGCCTGGAGGGACGCTCAGACCATATGCAAAGCATGCCATCAACTAAGCTGTTAAGTAAACATTGGGCAACAAGATTTCAAGGTTATTTCTCTGACAAATACCTAGAGTATAGCAATGCAAGTAGTTCCTTTGGAGCTACATACTTTTATATCTAGTTAGGTGGTAGTGGGAGCTTATCTAGGACACATTTAGTTACAAGTCTATTCTTTTTCTACAGAGGCAGATCATGATGTGTCAGGAATACATAAGCAAATGGATGGTAAAGGCCTCAAAATTCTGATCCATATATTAATGTTTAAAGACATTCTTGATGCTACCTAGAAATACTTGTCAGTGATAAAAATAAGCCTCAAAAATTCAGAATCAGCAATTTATAATTTTCAAATAATATTGTAGCCTTGCACAACATTCAAAAAGTCCCTTGTGTGTGGATTTAGTCTAATGGTTAGAGGGTGATTCAATATCAAATACTATGCAAAATAGTATGCAAAGGGAATATGTACCCTGGATTAACTCCTTGAACAATAATTAGTATTTCCTCAGAATTTATCCAATACTAATGAGTCAGCAGTCATATTTTCCATGCTTGGCCATTTCTACATTAGGGTGCTACAACTTTCCAGTCATAAATTTTTGGTGATAAGTATCTTTACTCTGCATATTCAAAAGCTTAGATGGGAGAGAACTAACACTTGTTGGGAGTCAAAATGCAAACACAGTGCTGTATGTTTTACAGATATTATCATTTAGATTTCACAACAATTCCTTAAATGGTGATAATTATTTTCCCTATTTTATAGCTTGGAAAACTAAGGCTTGGAGAATTGAAACTCAAGGTCATGCAGGTCAAGGCACAACCTAGGTCTGTCAGGCTTCCAAACCGGTATTCTTTTTACCACACTGGAAGAACTGAACCAATCCAAGGATAATGCACAAAGTACTCTTCAATCTGAGTGTTGAGTAAAGTATTATAAGTAATAATTACAGGTGGCTAAAACCCAAAGCCTTGAAAAGCTCAACAAAAGACTACCTTCCAATTTTGTATTATTTCAAGTAGTTTAAAATTGCTCCACCTCTACCTTGATCTTATCCCACAGCCCACACAAAGTGTAAGAGGGTCAGAGTTGATGCCATAGAATTCAGTTAACTCTGAAATGCCTTGATCATTTACAGAGTATTGCTCAATTATCTCTCCTGAAAATCTTTGCTGTAAAACAGCACAAAACACAGTGTACAAACACCTAAAAGGTAACTCAACTAAATAAACAATCTCTTGTTAAAGACGAGTTTTATAATGAGTTCAATACTGCAGTAAATAATACTAAGTAAACTAAAGTATAACCCAGAGAGCTATCCATCATTCCATTATCACACTCAAATCAGAATTGGCAAGGAAGCCCAGGCTCCAGAGAGCTGATTCACAGTTAGATGTGGGTGTAACTAAACAACCATCCTAATGACACCAACTGCAGAATATAGATTTAAGTACGTCAGGGAAAAAAAGGCACCTTCTCAGTAGCACTTCAATCTTTCAGTTTATAGCAAGATTTCCTATTTGATAAATTTTATGCTTCTGAAAGAGGCCTCAGAATATATCAGGTTTTATTCCTCAGCCAAATAAGCATCATTACTTCCCATTTTATGGAAAAAAAATTACCAGAATTGTAGAACTGTAAGTATAGTTGGAGGGGATCTTTCAGTTTCTTACAGAATTTTTTCAATCACAAGAATACTGTTTTTTAATACAAGAAAGAGCTAACATTTACTGAGCATTTCCAAAAAATCAAGCATATATGTTATCTATGATTCTCGCATGGACCGCATTCTACAGAGGTCTCGGATTCTGTCCAAGGTCACCCCTATAGGAAGTGGCAGAGCAGAATTAGTCTCATTTGCCCCCATAAAAGCGTCTAGGTAACAACTTGCTCGGTAACTGCATAAAGTCAGACTTAAAGGAACAAACAGGACCTAGGGGATGAAGAATGACCGTGACTATGAACCAGGATACCGCGTCCAGTTTGGGGGAGGGAGAGCTCTCTCTGCAGGCCTTTACCAGTATGACCTTTACTCCAAAATCTCCGACCCAACTTTTCCCCACATGGCTTATAGTTCGCGGAGGAAAAAGGATGCGGGAGGAGAATGAGGGTTTCATGGTGGTCCCCGACTCTTTTATGGCAGAAGTTGAGAAGGATCAAATCTGGGGCCAGGTCCGGAACTTCGAGTCGTGCTTAAGGAAGCGAATGCGACAAAGGTCGGGAAGGGCGCTGACTTGAGGTTCTGGGGTTTAGGACATATGCGGGATGGGAGAAGATATTTCATCTTCATTTTTTTAGGGGAACGGGATTGGAGCTCTGGCACACCTCCAAGGAGACTTGTCAACAGGCCTGTAAAAGGCCCTACATTTTGGAGGGAAGATCCCGATGGGAGCCATTCTAGGATCGTTACCTGCCGGGTGGTTGTACAACGGCCGCAATTTGTCGGGCAGCATCAGCTCCACTTTATCGAGGACCCGGTGGTAGGTGGCCCGCAGGCCTCGGACACCAGCGGCTGACATCTTGGCCGCCTAGAGATCGCGGGCAGCTGGCTGGGAGCGTCGCCGTGTCCTCGTCCCTGGATGGCAACGAAAAGCAACTCGTCACTTTCCCCTGTCACAGCGCCTTGCGTCCGCTTCACCCCTACGGCGCCCTTCACTCAGCTTGCCGGGCGGGGTGAACCACCCAGACGCCAGCACCCGGAGAAGGCTGAGGGGGCGGAGGCTCTGCAGAGCCCGCCCCAGCCCGCCCCGGCCAGCCTCCAGCTCGCGGGCGGAGTAGTCATGGGAACAGGTGTTAAGGAGTTTGCCCCGCCAACTCCGCCCCGCACTCTGTCGGCAGTGCGCTTGCGCAGAGGGACAGCTCACCACAATCGGCCAGCCCGGCGGCAGGAAGAACCCGGGTGGGGGGAGCGGAAACCTCCAACTTCTTCTTCCGGCCCTCGAGGCCATCTTGGCGAAGGGAAAGTGAAGCTGCGGTCTCTGTGCCATGCCCCTTCACTTTGACTGAGGAGGCCCGTAGTTAAAATGGGCTTTCCACCTTCTGTGCCCCAACTAAAGATGACGCCGCACAACTCAGTTGCTTCCTTTGAACCGAGACGTACGAGCGAGAGACTACAGACTCCAGCTTCTTCTCTCTCGACTCCACTTTTTATCACAGAGATTTGAGTTGGCTAGAGTGGCTCCAGTCTACTCTTCTACGGTGAGGGCAGTCGCGACGCACACTAGTCCCAGTTCCGGGGGGTGGGTGTGGGGGTGTGGGGGTGTGGGTGGTTGGTCGTCATCTCGCGAGAAAGTGCTGGAGGGGCGGAGTCCAGACGAGGAGTGGGCGGAGTCACGGCTGCCTCCGTCTCCACCTCCGCTCCTCCTCCGGTGGGAGGAGGGCCGAAGGAGGGGACTGTTGCTGATCTCTGGATGTTCTGGGTAGTCTGAGGAAGAGAGTATGAGGCGAGCTGTGGTCCGGGTGCCGCCCGGCTTCGGGGGAGAAAGCGCCGCCGCCGACGCCACCATCTAACTCGCAGCGCCCGTGAGATTCGGCGCGCGGATGGTGCCGGTGCAGCTCGGGTGTTGATCGTCGTGTCCCCTCCCCCTCTTTCTTTCCCCCCGCGGTGGTCTCCGCTTCCATCCCGGCCCTGGCAGAGCCATGTCTCGGGGTGGCTCCTGCCCGCACCTGTTGTGGGACGTGAGGAAAAGGTCCCTGGGGCTGGAAGACCCGTCCCGGCTGCGGAGCCGCTACCTGGGTGAGCGGGGGCCCCGGGGCGGAGGCGCTGATGTCGCCGCCCAGAGGTGGGGGAGGGGGCGCCGCTGGGGCTGTTGGAGGTGGGACAGTGACTGGGCAGGGGCGCCCCGGAAACTGGGGGTGCTGGGCGGGACCTCGGCCGCCGGACCCTGTACCGCACCTCCCTGGGGCAAGCCCCCTTTTGCGAGCTGCCAGCCGCCGCCCTTGCTGGGTTTTCTGGGAGAGCCGGGTCCTAAAGCGACCCCAAGGCGGTACTAGCGGTACTGGAGAGGGCTTGGGATCGCTTTGGGACTGGGACTCGGGACCAGACTTGCCGGACCTCATGGAGCTGCTGCGTTTACAGCAAAAGTTGTTGATTTTGCTCTTACCCAGCGCTGTCCCCTGCTCAGCCGAAGAGCCCAAGTGTTTGTTGTCCACCTTCCCCTTCGATCTCCCTAGGGTTTTGGTGTCGTTTGACCACCCTAGGGACTTCTTGCTCCAAACACACTTGGCATAAACTGGGTTTGGGCGCCGATCCAAACCTTAAAAGTGATAGCTGAGCTCCCCACCCCCCGCGCGTCTCCAGGTCCAGCTTGCAGCCCGGTTCGTTTTGACCGCTTTAAGGTGGTGTAGGATTTCGCGTTCCTCTTCCCACCCTGGAAAACACTCTTGGCATGTTCTGTTTCTTACTTAAGCTTTCTAAAAACAACCGTCAAGACTGAGGGCGCAGTATTCCACTCTTGTCGTTTTGTGTAACGTGATTTTGTGAGGATGCTGGGTCTCACCCGAGTCAACTTTTAAAAAGCCCACTTTCTTCAAAGAGGACGTGCTTAGCAAGGATCTTTTTCTGTTCCCCAATTTTGTCTCTTCTTTGCCAGGTAAAAGGATTCATTGCTGTCATTTGTTTTTGACTTCAACAAAAACAGAGTATGGAAGAAAATGAAATGTCATTACAGTCAATAGTTCTGGTGTGTAAATTACTTGAGAGAAAAGATACAGTTCTTAAATTCTTTTTTTTCGTGTCTCAAGTAACAAATACATTCTTTGTAAAAATTAGGAAATAAAGCAAAAATCTCTCTGATCTTTCCCCATTCCAATTTCATTCCCCGTTCTTAGAGGTAATATTTTCTGTTTCCTGAACATTTTCAGACCTTTTTCTTTTTTTCAAGTGTAAAGCGGGAGAGTTTATTGAGATAGAAAAATGTAAAGTGAGAGAGTAGAGCCCCTAGAGTTGGGGGGGTGGGGGAGCGGTCCTCAAAGAGCCTTCTCCTCACACCGTTTTCTTTGCATTATTTTAAGCATATAAGCACCTACTAAGAAGTAGTTGTGTGTGTGTGTGTGTGAGAGAGAGAGAGAGAGAGAGAGACTTGAATAAGTATTTTACAACTTGCTTTATCTATACTATATCCTGAGGTCTTTCCATGGCATTCTGTCTTTTAAATCATTAACAGTACAGTGCAAAACACTTAACGGACTCAACCTTTTTTTTGGGGGGGAAGAAGGCTTGAAGCAGAGTCTTACTATGTAGTCCTGGCTATACTTGAACCCTCAATCCTTTTGTGTCAGAACCCTGAATACTGGGATTACAGGCCTGTACCACCACACTGGATCTCATTGTTTTTTCATTTAAGTGGACGTTTGCTGGGCATTCTTGTGCTTGCCTTTGTGCAGTTATTGTAAAAAGTACCTAGAGCAATCAATCATTTTTAAATTAAACATTTGTAGAGAGTGCTTTTTAAAATCATTAACCTAAAAAGGTGTGCAAATTTTAACATTTGTTTGCTGAAAAAGAATTTCACCTGAGCTTAATAAAGCCAGTGTTAACACTTTTTGCATGAGTGAATTTCTAATTTCGTCCTTTGTTTCAAGTAGGTGGAAAGTTTAAATATGTTCTTTGGCAGGTTTGAATGTTAATATTTATTTCTGGTTCAGTTAGTTCGGTTGTACCTATGATAGCTAATTAAAATATGATAAGCCATATACTTTCTTATTCCTTTTCTACCCTAACTCCCTAATGGGAGTGGAGTTTTATGTTGGATGTAGGGAAGTTGAAGAGCAAGAGTCCACACTGTTAGCCTGAATTAGAGATTTTCAAACGTGTGTATCTATCTATTTATCTCTGTATGATAGAGGTGTATGATAATATGTAATTTATATTAGCACATTCTTGGAACAGATTTCTTTAAAAGTGGTTAATAAACATTTGAAGATAGTTTGTCATTTCTTGGTCTTTGTCATTAGTAGATAGTACCCCATTAGTATCCAGCTCTTATATACTATGTTGCCAGCCTTGTCTTTGCATTTAGGAAACAGCAAAATCCACATTAGTAGTGCATTAAATTGCTCTGTTTGAGTGTTTTTTTTTTTTTTTATTGACTTATTTTCAACTTGGTTGAGTTGTAACTGACAGTCAAAAATTGTACATATTTAAATTGTGCATCTTGATAACTTGATGGATACACATGGTGAAATAATCACTGTAGTCAAGCTAATTAGCATCCATCACCTTACATAGTCTTTTTTGGTGTATGGTAATAAAGTGACTTTTTAAAGCACTTTTTCATAAAGTCTTTTTTTTTTTTTTGTGGTACTGGGGTTTGAATGCAGGGCTTCACCCTTAGCTAGGCAGGTGCTTCACAACTTGTGCCACTTTGCCAGCCCTAAAGTCTTCCTTTTAAATTCCAAGTTCAAATATTTTAAAAAGTGGTTTCTAAGACATTATAATTACTTACCTACAGTACTGTAGGTTAAATATTTTTCTGATAGAGTTCCGTTATTTGTATTTCAAATAATGAATTACTGCTAAATAGCAGCAAAAATTGGAATAGAATGACTGGACAAATTTTTCTTGTAATACATTTCAAATTATGTCACTATAGCATGTGCCTTTTCAATAATAGTATTTAAGTACCATGATGATTTTACATAAATTGACTGTACTTTATAACTAATTAATTAAATTTTCAATGCTAGGGATTAAACTCAGGGTCTTGCACATGATAAGAAGCACTCATCACTCAACCACATCCCCAGACCCAAAAGAAAAATTAGGTTACAAAATTACCTTTTATATTGTGGGAATGAGGATGAATAATTTTCTGTTTGTTATTTATGAGAAAAAAATGTATGAATTTATAGTTCCAAATTCACAAGACTCACCTGAACCAATAGAGTCTTATTTTAGACTAGCATGAACTTAAAGGCTAGACCAGAGATTATTTTCTTTATGAGCCTAATGTAAATTCCAGTGTAGGATTTTTTTTTTTAAAGAGTAATTGTCAAAGTCCAGAGTCAAAGACACCTGTAGGTTTAAATGTTTCAGAGTTTCTCAAGATACTGTATAGCTATTGAGCAGTGCTTTTGGAGTTGAGCGTTATATAACTTGCTAACCATATGCATTTTATTTCCATATTTAATGCAGTTAATAAAGGTATGCCTTGTTTAGAAAATAAACTTTTAATTAAAGGGTTTTTTAAATGAAAAAATTAGAAACACTACATAAAAAATTTAGTAAAGAATGAAGAAGAGAAACACATTTTTTATGGATTTCCTGTTTCTACTCATACTCTCCTTTTGGACAGACTTGCCTACAACTTGAATTTCCTTTTTTAACCCTTCTAAATTAAAAGACTTCAATTGCCAAAAAAAGGTGATTTTAAAGGAACTTTCTAAGAGCTATTTATTATTATGTATAAAATGCTTAAATTCTGATAAAGTAGCCAATGACAACTTTTTAGTGGAGATGGAAATCTTTTTTGAGCAGTGTTTAGGAAGTCAGTGTCTTTAAAGTATCATCAGAGTCATTAGTCATCATGTATTGAAACTGATAATTTTGCCTTTAGATTACTCTCTAGTGTATTCTAAAAACTTCACATTCTAAATGTCCAGATTCTTTATTGTGTTGCTATGTTACAATCCGTAGGGTGGTTAAATTCTGACTTCTCCTTTTTAG